CAGAGACACGGACGGCCCTTCCATTCACGGACCCCGGCGCGCTTCCCAGTACAATTCAATTCGTTGGAAACGGACGGCCAGTGCACGCCCCGCACAGTCGCGGAATGCATGATTCTCGAATATGCGTTGGCTCGGCCGGCGAGCGAGGCACGTACCGTGGAAACGCGAATCCTCTCCTCTCGGGAACACCTTGCGGAAACGCACGCGCCGCGCATTTCAACCTCGCGCCTTCGGGTCGCGGGCGGACTTCCGATCGAGCAACCACTCAACCGCCCTCGACTTTGTTCCCAGCCGTGTGCCAGCTGGAGGATCGGCCTTCTTCTCGAGTTTATCTCCTCGCTTCGCGGAAATTTGGACAATTTTTGTGTTGGAGGAGAGGGGAAGGAGGCTTTGTTAATTTTTCTTTATGGAGGAGAAGATCGTAGATATCGTTGGATATCGGTAAGGAAGAACGTTTTTCGTGGAAATTTTATTATCGATTAATGGAAGAAAGTAGGAGGAATTTAATTCGATTTAATTTTAATTAATCTTAATTTCATATTAGTTTCGAAATATTCCGTTTTGATCGATCGAAGAATTGAAAAAGTTTGAGCGATGATTAGATCCCGTTCGAGCGCGTCGTGACTTTTTCGAAACTCGGCCATTAAAATTTATCAGATGGGGAGGGACAGTCGATTTAAAACAAAGGAGATCGTCATACGAGCTATAAAAAAACGTTCGGGAACAATCTTCAGCGCCATGTAATAAATCTGCCAGCCCGGTACGTTCAATGAAGGGATTATACTGGACATTCGAATCCTTCGCCTCGCAATGCACGTATACCGCGTACAAGGGACGTTTCGCGCATTACAAAGAGTTCCTGGACGGTTTTCAAAGAAAAAAAAAGAAAAAAGAAAGAAGAGAAAAGAAAAGAAAAGAAAAGAAGAAAGTACAGGCAGTGAGTTTCGTAAAGAGGACGACATCGTCATTTACGAATTCGTACGCTATCCACCCATTTCGCTCACACGTTACTTGAGACATCATATCAACGAAATTTCTTCTCGAAATTTATCATCCTATTATTATTATTACATCCAATGATTCAATTTATCAATAGCATTTCTTTCTCAACGAGGAATTCTCTTTCGAAAAAAGAAGAAAAAAGTCTTTATCCGCTTGAAATTCGCAATAAACTGAAAGTCTAGAAAAGAGAGAACGCGAAGCTTATTGTCCGAGTGGGGAAGAATGGCGTAGGGTGCCGTTTCACGAACAATCGAACTCTCGAGTCTCCCCCTTTCTCCCCCCCTCTCTCTCTCGATTCCGCGACACTTCAATTCCGAAGAAATTGCGAAAACGCCCCGCAAGAACGAGAGAAGAAACGAGGAACAGAGAGAAAAAAAGAAACGAGGAACGAGAGGTCGGGGTTATTCGTGCACGTGCGTTTCTTTTCTTCTAACCGTCGACGTTGAAAATTAGAGGGATAAAGATAAAGCGAGGCGAAAGACGGAACAAGAGAGAGAAAGAGAGAGAGAGAGAGAGAGAAACAGAGGGAGAAGAAAGAAAGAAAAGAAAGAGGGAAAAAAAGAATTCCACGCGCACTCGGCATACAATTCGTTCGACTGGGGCGAGGGTGTTAACGAGAATTCGCCCACGTACGCTCGCGCCATATGACGCTTTGACTCACTCCGTTGTTAAGCCGTGTTCACCCTCCGGACAAACGCATCCCGCCGGTAATTACTATGATAAACTGCGCCCAGAGACACGGCTCGTCTCTTTCCTCCTCTCCTTCCCCCCTCGCTGAATTTCATGGGAAACTACGAGTTTTACTAAGATTATTTGCAGATCCCACCCCTGGAATTTTCGACATCGAATCGTTCCTTCCTTCCCATCCTCTCTCTCTCTATTATCCCAATTTTGTAATTTTATCGATCGTACGTTTAATAAAAACGTGCCTTTTTTTTCTTTTTCTGTCGCAGCGCCCGTCTACGACCAGGATACCACACAGGTAGCGGAATACGATGGAGGTACGTACGACTTGGCGAGTTTCATTACTTCTAATCAACGTACGCGCACGCCACCGACGTGACGTTAATTGTATCGCATTCGAACAGACGACACGTGCCGTTTTAACGATTCTTACACGGTGCCGCTTTCAATCGATCCTTTCGATGAATATTAAGAACCGCGCTTCGACCTTCCGTGTCACATATTCCCAGACGCTCTTTGAAACACCGTGCGTATATACGTACGTATATACACGTATCCTCTCCACGGAACGCGATCTCTTCCATTGGTAATCTCGAAGATCGAGAAAGATAATTCTCGAGAAACTCGGAGAAACGATGATTTATCTGACGAAAAATTTCGGATGAAATTCGCAGCCACTGCCGGATGCTACTACAACTACCAGCACTACAAGGAGGGGGACAGAATCATCACGAACGAGCCGTGTTTAAACTGCACGTGCCACAATCGAATGCTGATGTGCTACCTCAGGGTTTGCCCGTTCACGAAAGCGATCGGCCAGGATTGCACGGTTGAGAAACGGCCGGATCAATGCTGCCCGGTCATCACCTGTCCAGAGGTGCCGGTACAGTTGTTGACCTCCACCACTAGCGCGCCATCCACTTCCGGCTCCACGGCGGTCGGCTTCCACGACAATTACGGGTGCAACGTGGACGA